TTTTTAATTATTGTATTTATTGGCTGCATGGCATTTCCTCAAATTTGTATATATCATGTATGTTGCCAGAACTTAAAAAATAGTTCATAAATCTTTAACAGTTGAGGACAATATTTTAGATAGTGTGGCACTAGCCAACTGTTATGTTTGTGTCCCCTCAAAATCCATATGTCGAAGTCCTGATCTCCAATATGATAGTATTTGGATGAGGGAGGGCTTTGGAAGGTAATTAGGGTGAGATGAAGTCATTAGGGTGGCGCCTCCGTGATAGGATTTGTGCCCTATAAGGAGAGTAAGACCAGAGCTCCATCACATGATGGAGAGACATCATGTGAGGATACAGTAAGAAGGCAGCCATCTGCAAATCAGGAAGAGAGCCGTCACCAGACACTGAATCTGCTGGCACCTTGATCTTGGACTTCCATCCTTGAGAACTGACAGAAAAAGATGTTTGTTGTTGAATTCATTGCATCCATGGTTTTCTGTTAGAGTAGCCTGAACTAAGACACCAACATAATGTGTGTAGATTCTTAGTTGCTTTGCATTCATTGTCACATGTAAGATAAGCTATCACTGGCTATAAGCATGCTTGAGTTATTGTTTGGTTTTACCAAATTTGTATACAAAAGGTTTGTTTCTATATGCCCTGTCTCCAGAATTATGTGAGTACCAATTTTACCATGATATCCCTGGTATTATATTTTTAGAAGGTATGTAGATTATGCTAATTTAAAAAGTATAAAATAACTTAATCCCTCGTAACTAAAATATATTTGTATTTTATAGAGAGATGATTTCAATTTGAAATGTCAGCCAATATTTTGAAAGGGAAATTTTAGCTAAAAACAATCTAGAGACTGCTATCCAAGAATACAGATTAAGTGTTTAAAATTGAAAAACCAAAACACAGTTTGAAATGAAATTCCTTACTGATAGGTCACTCCTCTGCATTTTTTCACCGTTAACTGCATACTTAGGCAAGAAACACCTCAACTCTGCAGTACAAATGATAAACCGATAAATAGCCCCAAATGAAAGCTCCAAAGGATGAGGATGGTCATCTCTAGCTGGTATTAGGATTAGAAGGAAAATACAGTGTTTGAGAAGAGTAAGCTATATTTAATGAACTCTGGTGTCATTAAAATGTACATTCATGGTAAATGATGGTCTTNAACGAGAAAGGCAAGATCCCTGTCACCAGGTAACGTTGAGTCAAGTGGTTCTGAGAGGTCTTCCTTCCCCTTTAAAATACTGTGTATCAATTTAAATAAAAGCCAGTTTCAGTGCTAGTTCTGTTAGCAAGGTTTATAGAAAAAGCAAACATCAGGAAAGGCGGGGAAAGACTATCATTCATGTTGTCTTTAACTAAAAAAGAAAAACAAAATGGAGTCTGTTAGCGATCCCAGCCGAAAGAAATGGGGGGAATGGTTGCACAGAAGGAATGAGGGGGAGTTGCTGCTGCAGTACCAGAAAGACGTTTAAGATTCAAAGAAAATAAGCTCCTTTTCTTTTTTCATTGTTTAGACAACTACTGCTGAGCACTCGTCACTGCCAAAACCATTTCTAGGCCTCAGGGATACAGTGTGGAGGCAAGATGGGCAAAATTCTTGACAGAACATACCTTTTAGTCATCATTCGGAAAAGGTTACCTCACTTTCCGACTACTTTTCCCAAGGTTGTGGCCAGAAGAACAATTTTTCTGCAAGTGGAAAACTGAGTGGAGTCTTTGTGGGGTAAGAAATTAATGCTTCCCCTGTTTTTCTCCCAATTTCTACTTGACTAATAGAGAGACCCTTGCTACAGAAAGTGTCATCCTCAGATCACCAGCACAGACATCACTTGGGAGTTTGCACAATGCAAGAATCTCTTATGCTACCCACACCTACTGAGTCATAATTTGCATTTTAACAAGATCCCCAGGTGATTCATCTGCACATTAAAGCTTGAGGAGCAATGGTTTAAAAATAATGAATTCTTAAAAAGAAAAACATTACCCACAATTTTATCTTCTTAAATAGATCAAAAGCTTATTTTTTCTACCTTTTAAATCCCTGCCCATATCCACACATACTTTATATACAGCCTTAGCCAGAGTTCATAAAATTTCATTTTTTTTCAAAGTTATTATTTACTGATAAG